GGGATGACCTCTGTTCGTGCGCCGCGACAATTGCCGAGTGTGCTCAGTTTCCCGGGGGGAAGGAGGGTTTCATCTTGCCATAGGAAATGAAATCAAATCATTCTCGGTTCAATAAATGGACACTCCAGACTTATGCCAAAAAAGGGAATGGACGCAAATTCACCACTAGGTCAAGGGCTTTTCAACATGACTAAGCAAGCCGTACTTAAGTAGGGTCAGTTAGATGAACGTGTTCAAACTGGAGTAGAGCAGCTTTGCCGACCACCGATGCCGATATGTTCAGCGAGTCATACAGTGAAAAAGCAACCACTATTTTACATTGCCAGAATTAAAAATCTTGACCGATTATGAACGGGTGGCAGTCTTCGGGTAAGCACGGAGCAGCAACACAGCAGTCACCTATTGCAAGCGGTTGCCTTTGATCTCATTGATTTTACTACTAGTGAGATCCCGGTCTATCAGTGACCCCCAAAACTGCGGATACGCGCGTAAGTTCAATAATTCAAACCCCAAAGCAATTCAACTACATAAAACTCTGAGAAACGCCTGGCTTTACTGCTAGTATTATATGAAATAGGCGCATTTTCTTCAATTATGTTTTACAGATAAAGTCTCCATAGAAGAATATTAACTGTCATCATGCTGTCAAACACGTCAACACAGCTACTGTCGGCTTAAAAATCCAGCTACCGTCTGGTTAAAAATGCATTTCTGCGATATATTAAACTTAAAGTAAATAATAATATATTTCAAATCAGATTAATTATAGTTTGAATCAGTTAATATTCCTCAAATAAAGTTTCAGAAAAATATATTTTATTTTTGGAAAATTTTTTAATAAAGAGAATTACATTGCGATGAAAGACTACTAAAAATGGACGCTAATCTTGAAATTAAGGCTAAAATAAAAGTTTCAAGAAAGATTTTTAATTTTTATAGATTCATTTTAAATGTGGGTATCACATTTTTAATGGAGGTCCCTAACTAGGGTACTCCATGAGATCGCTAAAAAAAGCGCATAGTCTGATGAAAAAGACGTCAAACTTGACGAAAACAAAATTTTATCGCCAAAATATTTATGTTACTATTAAGAGTAAAGAACAAAGTAATTTTTAATTATTTTTTAAATTTTTTCTGTCTTTATTACAACATTCTAACTTTCGATTGAAAAACTTGTTTCTCGTCATCACCGGAAGTCTCCGTAAAAATAACATAGCGAATTTTTTGTGCATTTTTTTTCTTATGACACACATTAATTTTGAAAATCTTGCAAAAATAGAAATAATTGTCAGATTTTAATGAAACTTTCAGAAACTATTTAGGAATGATGGAAATTATTATAAATATGTTATTTTTTTTAAAAGTCATTATAAAAATATATTTTTTATACATATATTACCACCCCCATAAATGAATTAAAGAAAACTGTAAAAGTTTATGGACGAAGCACGCAAGTTATTATATTAGTTAAAACACAAGGCTTTGAGGAAAGTAAATCAGGTTTTCTTTTTTTTAAAATCCGACTTCGTAAACCTAAAATCAGCTCTGAATTGTAACATACAAAACCCAATAAAACAAAGATACTATTTAATTTTAAATGCTTTTAGATGCTTTTATTTGTTTTTATCAATATGCATAATATTGTCTGAAAGCAAAAAAACTTTTTTGATGAAAAATTAATTTTTAAATGAATTAATTGTTATTTAATGTTGTTAAATATTCTAAAATTAGTGGTACTGGCGAATCCTGTATATAATGTTTTTTTTAGGTACCTGTATCTGTACAGATTATAAATAGTACAAGGTTTTTACAATCAACGAACCAGCAATGAGAATAATCTTACTGTCCTTTACCCTTATGTGTAGAAAAAAAAATCTTAAATCAAATGTACGGAAGCCCGGAAGAAACATGATCCAATAAAAACATCACGTGACTTGATTTGTACGGCACTGTTAACGGCCTTTACGTTTATATAAAATTACTCTAAAAAAATTATAATAATTTCCATCATTCCTGAAAGTTTCATTAAAATCTGACAATTATTTCTATTTTTGCAAGATTTTCAAAATTAATGTGTGTCATAAGAAAAAAATGAACAAAAAATTTGCCATGTTATTTACTAAAGTTCCGGTGATGACGAGAAACAGGATTTTTCAATCAAAAGTTAAAACGTTCTAATAAAGATAGAAAAAATTTAAAAGATAATGAAAAATTACTTTGTTCTTTCCCCTTAATAGTAACATAAACATTTTGGTAATAAAATTCTGATTTCGTCAAGTTTAAGGCCGTTTTTTCATGCTATGACTACTTAAAAATAACGAGGTAAATAAGTTGTTAACGTAAAGATAAATTGTCACTTACGACCTTCCGTACTATAAATTTCCGCACGTAATATGTCAGTGCGTGATGAAAAACACGCACTTGTCATTTGTCAATCAACACCGCCGTTCAGACCGGCTTTCTCCCATTTGAAAAAACATGTTTTCATCACAGAAAATAAGCAATCTTTGTTTAAAAATATACTAAATAAACTTTATAATTTCTAATTTTTTAAAAATTAGTTAAAAAAAATCATAATTGATTTTTTAAATGAATTTTAAACGGCAACATTCACTTTTGTAAACAAAAGTTAAAAAAACGGGAGATTATCGATCTTCTGTCGATTTTTCCGATTCAAAAAAATTGAAGATATTTAACGAAAATTTTGGACGTGCTAGAAATTATTAAAAAATTTTAAGAAATATTCAAAAAATACTTTGATCATTCCTCTTGATAATAACATTAACATTTATACGATAAAAAATTATTTTAATCAAATTTAAGGCCTTCTTTATTCATGGTATGCTATTTTTTTTTATCGATCTCATAAACATACCTACAATCGACAAGTAAATTATTTTACATAATTCAATCTCAATGTGAAGTAGGTGCTGCAAATTCACTCAACTTTGATAGTTGTGGTTATTTTCTAAGCTTAGATGTTGAACAAGGCCGAAAATATGGAGCACCTAGTGAGGATCGAACTCACTTTTCAGTCGTAACTGATCTAGCGAGACAAGCTTGTTGTTTTTAACATTTAGACTAAGCCTGTTTCATTCACTTTTCTCAATAATACTCTTAAAAAAGACACGCCAAGTTGCCCGACTTTGACGTTTGTGTGTTAAAGCTGAAATCGTCCAAGCGTTACCTTTGTTTTCATTACTTCGCTTAACAAAAGAAAATTTGGGTGTGTTGATCAAACTTGTTGTAAACATTAATTTTATCTATCAGGCCTATACAGGAGAGTCTTGATTTCTCACAGTGACGATGGTAGATCCATGTCCTTTGTCAAAATACACAGGGAGTGAAGGCTCTTTTCATGAGTCATTTTATGCCTGTTGTACAAACAAAATTCCACCGAACAGGAGGATTTTAAACAAAATCAGTGACGAAAGGAGACTTTTTAACTAGGTCATGCAGTCCGTGATTTTAGCTAATCGCCAAGGCAGAGAGTGAGGCTGTTGTGCCTTACTCGTCATCCCAGAAAACTACCCTACCCCATCTGTGACTGAGAGATGAACTAATTTTAATGTGAGAAAATGTACTTCTATCAACAGATTACGTTTCAAGTTTGCTACCCCTCTTCATTGAGGTTGATGCCACTCCTATTAGTAATACTCTTCGTTTCTTTTTGGCAAATTTATCAGTCACTTCGCTATAAAAAGTCTCATCTTCTTTAAAAGGTCTTTCCTGGAAACGAAAACCAAATTCAATCTCTTTTCACTTTGGGCTTTAAATTTACTTAAAAATGTTTACCTCCATATTGTTATCATTTAAAAATTGATTAAACAATGTGAGAAATCATCGCTTTGCATTGTCAGATTCTTGTCGGAAATGTTATCTCAATATTCTACGTTGCTCTGTAGCCATAGCAGCAGTGGTAGTATCAAAGGTAAAATAACAGAATACATCTTTAATCAGGCTGGCTCCCAAATCCCAAATCCAAAGGAAGATGGATTCATGTTTTTTTTAAGAGTATTATTGTGAAAAGTGAATGAAAGGCTTAGTCTAAATGTTAAAAACAACAATCTGAATACACTTTTCATAACGATGCTCCTAAATGGTTTAAAAGAAAACTTCTGAAGTTCATATTAATGGTCAAAATAAAATAAAATATCTAACAGAATTGACAATATCAAAACAAAAATGTCATTAGAAATAGAGCTATTCACATTTAAGATGACAGATACAAATCAGTTCGGATACTGTATTAAGAAAACACTTGAATTATGTATCATTGTTGTGTTCGCTGTTCTGAACAAGATAACTTGTAATAATGAGGCATCAGTTTAGTGTCACAGACGGGATAATTCGTATGCTGATAGTATAGTCTTATTCTTTCGTAAAATCGAACCACACTAGTTTAAATTAATAAAATATTTTCATACATTTTTTTCCTATAAAAATCTAAAAGACAATAATTTGAAACGAAAATTTTGTCAATTTATTCACATATATAACATTTATCAGAGAATCTACTGCACATCTTAGTTAATTTGTAGGAAGATAAAACATTTTAAAAACAAAGTATAAACTGTATTTTCGTTAATTTTGCACAAGAAAAATACAACGTTTAAAAATATAATTGGCAGAGAATGGGTTAACAATTCATAAATAAACAAAATTAATAACTGTTGCTAAATACAAATTTAATTTAGTTTATTTTAGTTCTACATTTTTCCTATAAAATTATCAAAGTGAACTCCATGTATCGACATTAAAAATAACATTAATATCAAATGTTGACGAACATTTCCACAAACCATATAATATTAATATGGACACTTCAGCGTGGTGTAATGGTTGACAAGTTCTTTGTCGCTAACTCAATTACTACCGAATAGTGAGTTCGATCCTCACTAGGTGCACCATATTTTCAGTCTTGTTTCGCATCTAAGATACGTTTAGAAAACCACCACATGATATGAATTAATTATTTAAACGCAATAATAAAATCATACCTTCGAAAAAGATGATCGTCTCAGCTGAAATGCGTTTTCTTTGGTGTCTACTGAAGCAATGGGGTATATCTGGTGGCTTCTGAGGCAATGAAAATCACGCAACAAATATCTCCTTTATAGCAGTTTTAAGCGAATCACATGAGTGCATATATATGACATCTAAAACCGGTTTATTTTTTTTTATGAGGTAATGTTCATGAAAGAACTATTAAAAGAAAATGCCGAAGAATATATATATATATATATATATATATATATATATATATATATATCAATATCAGAAAATTAAGATTTTTTTCTGTGCCTACTATTTCAAACTTTTCTGTTTACGTATTCTTAACTTAATTAAATCTAAAATCTAAATAAAAATGTGTCCTTAGAAATAAAGAAGAATTCAACTGTTATTATATAATGACCAATTTCCTATATGACTGTGAATACTGGATAATTTCATCCCAAATGAAGAAACAACAGAGATGCAATTTCATTGATGAATGTTGAGAATACCGAGGGCAGAATATGTGAGAAACAAGGACTTTTTTTATGGAGATGAGAAACTACAAAAAAAAAAAAAAAAAAAAAACAATTGGAAAGCGACTGCTGAAATTTTGAGGTATATAATAAAGAAAGCAAGGATGAAGAATTTAAAACCCACAGCGTATATAAAAGAGAAATGAAAAAAAAAAGCAGTGAAAAACCCACTTGACACCATTTTTATTATTTTCAATCGGACTAATGCCTTCATCTTTGTTTTTATTATCACAATGTTTCAAACGCTGTGTCCTCCGGCCTTCTGGTGTTTGTCAATCCATGTAATAAATACATCTGATATTTTTCATTATTAGGTCTATTGTATTTAATACACGGATTGACAGATATCTGAAGAATAGAGCATACAACAGCCGAAACGTTGTGATAATAAAAACAAACATGATCGTATTCGTCCGATTGAAAATCTCAGAAATTTCGACAAAAATTACCTACTTGACAGTTAAAAAAAAACAAAAAAACTGGACCGGAAACAGTTACCCCCAAAATAAGGGTCGTAATGGAGCAAGTATCACTGAAAGCAAAAAAAAAAAAAAAAAAAGGAAGATGTGGAACCCCACTTAAAAATACGTGGCTAATATGGAAAGAAACTTTTAGCAAAAGTATTACCTTCAAGAGAATGTGAACTTTGTTTTCTTGAATATTTAATATGACAAAAATTAATATATTTTCTTCTTAATTTGTTGTGAACAGATGCTACAATTATTTAATATTACCAGCGTACTGATTGGGATTCATTTCGTGACTTTCTAACGACGGATTGATATTTTTAACCTTCACATTAAGAATTGTGCCTCTGAGGTTCTTCTTGAGTAAAAGCTGACATAAATACCTTTGTACCTTATCAGGAATACCCGATGAAAGAAAAATCTTCTTGGTTCCCACCTGCCTCTTCAGTCGCTATCACCAACAGGAACCACCTTTTCCGGCTGTACTAGCGTGATAGATCTAATAATAACAGACGCCTTTTAGTATCTGCTTGTAATAATTATAAATGTGTCCTTAAAGAGGCGAATTCTTTGTTTGCTGACAGAATGAGGCACCGTGTAACCTCTAACAAATTTGGTTTCCACGACTACTTGCAGCACTGTAATAGTGTATGAAATAAGTCTTCGATCCATCCTTTCTTTGCCCAATTTAAGGTTAACATCTGTCGATAAAGCAGAATATTTTGCTCGTAAATTCTCTTCCAATTATACCCCTGGCTCATTTGTAGTAGCTTTAACCGTCTTTCCAGTCAGAACGGAATTTCTGTTGTGTGATATAACTCCATCCATGACTTATGCTATCATCTTTCAACTGGATCCTCACAAAACATATAGACATGATGGTATTCCTGCAGTAGACCTTAAGAAATGTGCTCGTGAACTGGCTCCTGTTTTATCTAAACCCTACAATAAATGCCTCGCTGTTTCTTGCGTTACTGCTTGTTGGAAATCCTCTTCGATAGCTCTAATATTTAAGAACTCAGGTGAACTGCCTGATCTTTCTAACTATCAGCCTTTTAGCCTTCTACTTCTTTTTGACAAAGTACGAGTCTTCAATGAACCCGAAATTGGTTGGTTGAACAGCTCACCGCGTAGAGTCTTCTTTCAGACGAGCAAAATGTCTTTCACTTCTCTAACTGCTGATGTGTTATTGCTGAAAGTGTCCGTCAAGCTTTAGATAAGATTGGTGAAGCGGTTGCTTTGTTGCCTTCGAAGGTATTTGACAAGATTTGGAATACATGTCTTCTTGCCAAGTTAAAAGGTTATGTTATTTCTGGACTGATTTTTAACGGGTTCAATCTTTATCAAATCGTGAAATGAAATTTGAACGGCCACTGTTCGAGATTCATAGATTTATTTTGTTTTGTGGCTTATGAACATTTTGCGAGTTATTTAAAGCCAGAAAATATTTCAGATAATAATTTTTGGCGATAATAATGATTTTTACGGATATAAGTTCTATTAATTAAGCAACAGCTGCGGTAGAAGAGGTGGATTGATACCTTTTTCAGTGATATTTGTGTGTGAATATAATGAAGCCGATTAGAATTGAAATTCAGCTCTCTGATTTCCAATTCTGAGCTGTTATCCATTACATCACCCGTACATCGAAGCTTACAGCACTTGGTATTTCCACGCGGTGGCCTATCTGGGTATTGACCAGGATCGACGTTGATTAACCTCAAAGATTATACGAATACTCTTGTTTCACCGTGATATGGCCGTAGGCCCCCATTCTTCTAGAGTAGGGGTGGGCGCCCTTGGCACGTGTGCCAAACATGGCACACCGATGACTTGTTTCTGACACGCGAACCTTATTTATTAGATTCCATTTTTGACACTTTTATTCTTTCTCCTTTTTCATGTATATCATTATCACATGTCTTTTTATTTTCTGCCCATTACATATAGTACAGAATGTCACGATTATCAGCCAAGAAACGATTTTATTCAAATGAAGAGAATATTAGAAAATTTAAAGAATACTAAATTGAAAAATTTGACATGATTATAAAAGACAATAAAGCCTTATGCATTTTCTGTTCAAAAACAATCGTCTTTAGGTCTTCTTCCGTAAAGAGACATTTTGAAGGTGTTTATAAGAACTTAAGCAATAAAACTGGGACGAAACAAAAGAATTAATTTCTCGTGAAGTGAGCAAGACAAAAAACAGGATGATACATTATTTCAGTTAGAATTTAGTTGCTGTTAGTTTTGAGTTTTCAAAAGTTATTGTCTAACACTGAAAGCCACTCAGTGATGGAGAGTATATTATATAAAAAGCTTGGCTAGAATACGCGCCTTTCCTTTTGATAATTTTTCAGAAAAGGAAAAGATTATTCAGTGCATTAAAGATTTGTATATGAGTAGGAAAACAGTTAAGTATAGGATACCTAAGTTGAATGGCCTTGTGCCACAATTGTAATGTTTTACAATAAATACCGGGTACCTAAGTTGAAAAGGAATACAGCTGAACAATTGATAAAATATTTGTCTTAATTGTCTTTTTTCTATTTGTGTCGATGAAAGTACGGACATTACATCATCGGCTAGGCTAGCCATATTTTTTTCGAATTTGTAGGGGATGATGAAGTATGTGAAGAGATGGTTGCCCTTGTAATATTACCTGAGCGTACTACCATGGTTGAAATATGTATAGCAGTTGTGCTACGAATTATCTACTGGACAAATTCACATTTCAAATGTTGTATCTATCACAACAGATGGCGCCCCCAGCATGACTGGTGGGGAGGCAGGGTTTGTAAGTCTGTTTGCAAAAAATGTTGGTCATCCACTGATAGGTTTTCATTGCATCATACTTTAGGTCAGCTTTGTGTGCAAAAGCTGACCTAAAGAAACTTCAGTGATGCAAACACTTTAGGAAGCTTTGTGTGCAAAAGCTGACCTAAAGAAACTTCAGTGATGCAAACACTTTAGGAAGCTTTGTGTGCAAAAGCTGACCTAAAGAAACTTCAGTGATGCAAACAGTTACCAATATTAATTACATTTCTGCTCGGGCTTTAAATAAAAGACATTTTCAAAATTGGATGAAGTAGAACTTGCATATAAAGGACTGAAAATGTACAACAATGTTCGTTGGCTTGGCTGAGGTTTGGTTCTGAAACGAAATCTTGAATTCTTAGATGAGATAAAGTTCTTTTTGAATGACCAACAAATGTCTTACCAAGAATTGTCTGATATCATGTGGACTTGTAAACTAATGTTTTTTGCAGATTTTTGTGAACATTTAAATGACTTGAATATTAAATTACAGTGTTCTGGTAATAGATTTGGTGTCATGTTTTGTTAAATAAATGTTTTTCAAATGAAACTAAAAATTTTGAAGAGAGGTGTAGATATTGAGTTATTTAGATACTTCGCAAACCTAAAGAGGTACAACATGATCTCCCAAAAGATGGCAGAACAGACCGCCAATGTTGTAAAAAGCTATTTGTAAACATCATCGAATCAACTGTTGAGCAGTTTTTTAGAAGATTTGATAAATTCGCAGAACTGGAAGAGACAGCAAAATTCATTATGTTTCCAAACTCTATCAAACTGGATGAAGTAAACTTGCAAATGTTTTCATGGATAGACATGGATGAGTTTGAAATGCAGTTGATTGAATTTAAGATTAGCTCAATTTGGAAGCAGAAATTTGTGGACCTTAGAGTTGTTTTGGAAAATATTGAAATGGAGCGAGTAGATATGAAAGAATCAGAGAGAAATGCGGAAAGCGAAATATTAAGGAGTTGGAATACCATTCTAGAAAATTTTGTCTGTATAAAAAAACACTTGCAGCATAATTACTATTTATCTTTCATTTATATATGTTTGTGAGTCAAAAAAGACAAACAAAAGAATAAAGAAAAGCATGTCTCAGAGATTAACTTTGTTAAGTTTCGTAACAGGAGTAGTCTGATGGACGAAACTAGTAGTTCATGCATATCTCTCAAAGTTATTCAATATAAATCCGATATAAAATTTCTGATAATATATATAAAAAAGTCAACTAGTTTTCTGTCTCTAGTTTTATCTGATGTTTTCTTTTGAAAGTGGCAAAGGTTCAGGGCTGTTTAAATGTAGTTTTGAAATGTATTTTTATACATCATTTATAAGGGATTTAAAATCATCAAAAGATTATTTTTAATAACCTTTTACTATGTTGTATAACTTGAAAACAATGATGATTGATCAATGGAAAAAATATCAGTGTTAACTTTGTGTTGATGCTAATAATAGTCGATAGTGTCTTTAAATTGTGTATGGCAGTAACATTTATAATTACAGGCTAATAAAAAAATATCACAAACATCTTTTTCGTAAAAACCTGTCATAATTTTTTTTCATTCAATCAGTTTTTCATGATTTACTTAATTTCATACAATACCGTGTTTTTACTGCTCTGGGATGATTTTTTATCATTTAAAAAATTTCTTCACATATATCAAATATGTTCTCCAAAACTTGTTGGCACGTGGAAAAATTTTGTGTCAGAGATGTGGTCGGTTTTGTCACGCACTTTCAAAAAGGTTGTCTACCCCTGTTCTAGAGCTTTTTGCATTAATGCAACAGGTGTCCCCAAGTCCTCTATCCTCAGATCTATGTTGTTCCAAATTTTCATCGATGGCATTCTTGATATCATCAGTTCGCAACTCGGTATCTGTGATGTTGATACACCTATTTACTCCTGTCTTAATGGCAATGATTAGTTCGATAAGATCAAATTGGCAGCTGATCTCAAAAATGACCTTCAGCTTGTTGTTAACTGGAGCAAGAAATAGCACACTAATTTTAATGCCTCCGAAACGAAAACGCTCTCTGTTAATCGTCTGAGAGAATCGCCAGCCTCAAGGAGAGTGACTCATTGCACCTTCACGGGCTAAAGTTTTCCGGTGACATGAAGTAGAAAGATTATATTGAATCAATTGCTATGTCTGCTGCTAGGAACATTGGTTAACTGTGTCTTGCTAGACAATTTTTCTCTCGAGAATCTTACATATTTTTAATGGATTGAATATTTCTGTCACATCTGATCTGATACCCTTGCTATATATTTAGAGATTCTTGATAAAATCCACCTTCAGTCACTTTCCCACAGCGGCATTGTATTTTACCTGCGCCTTTTCTATAAATATTTTTATGGTAATTGTTCTAATACGCTTTTCTCTTTGGTACCTAGACTTTATGAATTTAAGTGCAGTACTAAATTGGCGGCAAGGTTTCATCATTTTACAGTTGAAATGGTTAGTTATAATCGTAAGTTCTATGCTAACAGTTTCTTCTCTCATCCTTTACGCTTGTATAACTCTCTTCCGCTTCTTGCTCTTCAGTCAACTTTCATCTTCAAAAATTTAAATACAGTGTCAATCGTTATCTCTTGTCTTCATAATTCCTGTCTGTTCTTTTATTGTTCCCTCTACTTAAAAATGTTTTTCGTTCTCTCCTTAATAATGTTTTCTTTTTTTCATATTCTTACATACTCAGTAACTCCCTTACGTCTTAGTGGCTTTATTGACTTGCTTGGGGCGAAATGATTAAAAAAATTACAAAAGTTCATCTCTATATTTTTCTTAATGTGCTACTACAATTTGATCCACGATAAAGCAAAACCGGATATATAAATTGGAGATGTTTTTTCTTAATTTATAAAATTCATATTTACTGGAAACAAACAGTCTGTATGCAGATAGGAAAACGAGTTAAGCAAATACACAAAAACAGAAAGGGAAATAAAACAAGTTTTCATTTGTTCATTGGATTTATTCAACCTATACATTGGGACAATCCTAAGAGAACAAGACAACCTACTAGGATTTATTATTTGCAGCCTTAATCTGAACAACACAAGACACGCGGATGACACTAGAGATGAATACTCCTGTGTTTTGTTTTGTTTTTCTTAATTTATAAAATTCATATTTAAATAAAACAAGGTTTCATTTGTTCATCGGATTTATTGTACAGCGGGATAATCCTAAGAGAACGAGACATCCTACGTGGATTTATTATTTGCTGCCTTTATCTGAAGAACATAAGACACACGAATGACACTGTTCTGATGGCCGACTCAGAAGGAAAACTCGAGAAACTCTGAGGGAATGTAACAAATAGAAAGAAGAAGAAAGGACGAACCATTAACTATAAGAAGACAGAATGGTCATCAGCAAGGAAGGCACTTGAAAGCGGAAGTTTCGAAATGGAAATTTGGAATCAAGCGGATACATAAATTTAACTCTTTGTCTAGTGTAGTAACCGTAGACGGAAAGTGTCACACAACGACATGAAGGTAGATCGAAAGAGCGAAAGATGCTTCCCAGAAACTAATCAGTAAAAGGAAAATTTCTTTAGAATCAAAGGAAAAAGTACGAAAATGCCATGTTATATCTCTCCATATGTATGGCAGTGAATGTTGGATAATCTCTTCATAGATAAGGAAGAGACGCAAAGTGAAAGAAATTTGGTTCTACAGGAGGATGCCGAGAATAACATGGGCAAAACACATTGGCAATGAGGAAACTTTAAGGAAATGTGAACTAGAAGAACTTTTATTCATAGTATAAGAAAGCGAGAGTTGAAATTCCTGGGACCGATAGATGACTTCGTAAATATAATGCTAACATGTCATATTGAAGGAAGGAGATTCTTTCTTATCGTTATTATCTTCACTTCCTATCAGATTCTATTATACTCTGTTCACACACCTCATCGCTCATTACTGTTTTGATAGTAAACCTCCGTTTGAGTGTCTATTGGACGATATATATATACATATATGTGTACGTCACCTTAGTATGTGCGCTCAAGGTCAACCGGTCAACCAGCCAACCGCCTCTTCATACCATAACTCGCACGTGTGTTCACACTTCTGAGATTAATGTCCCGCATTTGGCTCACTTCATTCGCTTCTTACGGAAACCGAAAGTTGTTGATTACGTATCCAAACAGTTTTTATTACTTCTTAGTTATAACTACAATCGTTTCCGCGTTTATCGAATTTACTTCCCAAATTACCTTCTACCGTTTCAGCTTTAGTTGAACTTTTTAAACTTCACGTTTTTTTTTTGTCTTCGATCCACTTTTGATATAGTTACATACATTTTTGGGATCCCTTTAACCTGCCTACGTTTAGACTACACGTATTTTTTGCATTCAAAAAACTTACATACCTTTTATTACGTTTGCCTTTTTTTAAATTGGTTGAAATGCCGCCTAAGGGAAGAAACCTTTTTGGACGGCGCACGGCTGCTGCCTCCGCTACAAGAGCAGCAAGAGCAAGTGAAACCACAGAGAAAACTTCGTTGTGCGTTTCTCAGATGTCCCCACGCCCTGCTGTCCGCATCCTCACGGAAAGTACCGCTGAACGGACTGAAAGGCTGGCATCAGTAACATCCGTTATGCCATCACGACGCGCTAGGCTTTAACTGAGTAGCGTTTAGTACAGAATTCACAGGACGCAATACGCGTTTCTAGGGCCAGACAATCCTTCGGCGTTTAAGGAATGCCAGCGCTACAGCATGTTCTAGAGCTTTAGAAAGCCCTGAACAAACACTTCACGTCGTCTTAGGAATGCTAGGGCTACAGCATGTTCCAGGGTTTCGGAACAACCTCAACAAACCGCTATTCGTCGTTTAAGAACTGCCAGCGCTACTGCGTCTGTCAGAGCTTTAGAAAATGATGTGCAGACCGCTAATCGTCGTTTGAGGAATTCCAGAATACTGCGTCTGCCAGAGTTTCAGAAAGCCCTGGAGTACGGCGAGCACGGCTCAACAACGGCCAACAATGGCCAAATCGCAAGGACAGACGCTCAACGTCGCGAGTCTGCATTTATGTGAACAGTTATTCGCCCATGGACAGCTTTACGTAGGCTGCTCCCAAGTTGGGAGTAAGGATAACGTTTACGTTTACTCTCCAACAAAGCTAAAAATATTACCTAGGCAGAAGTCATATAGCACACGGTCGATCGTGTTTAAACGCAATGTACACATCTTTATGTCAGCTGCATCGTAGATTCCTTCATTTTTGAACCCGGTTTATTTAAAGGTCGTCGTAGAATCCACTTGCCATTACATTTTAATAAAGGTTGTTTTGCTCACCAGATGCTCCCTTATCACTTAAACCCCACCATAGCTCCATTCGCACTGACATGTCAACCACGTAACCATATTCAGTTGCAACACAAAATCAATACGTGGGAAGGTGGATTCATTTAATTGTCAGAGAAGTCGAGTGCATCCACGCAATTCAGGCCAGAAGAAGTGGGATAATAAAAGAATAGCAGCATGCAGAGTTATAATATTCATTCTCTGCCGTACACCGTTGGTGTGTTTCTCCTCTTGCCATAAGGGCTGCTTTTGGTAACGTTACGTGCGCTTCATGCTCGCCTCAACTGGCTATTAAAAACTACAAAACAAATTGTGCCACTTACATGTACTCGCCCCGGCACCTTCTCATACTTCTGTTATGTGGTTCTGTTTGCTGTGGTGGCAGCGCCGTCTTTTAGACAAAAGACGCGTCTACCTTTCACGCTCTTGCGTTTTCCTACGTTACAACTGACACAGGGCTTCATGTAATGTCTTGCACTCAGGGATAATAAACGCATCCCATCAGAATACAAAGCCATCTGCCACAACACACCAAAAACTTCCTAAAGCCCGTGTTCATATTGAACTTGATAACTTCTAATTGGAGGTGTCTTAGTAATGGCAAACAGCTGATGCTACCATGGCTGTCCATTGCTTCCTTTTAAGCCTTACAATTTTTC